AAACAAGAAACACTGATTTCGCAGATTTTCAGCAAGCAGAAGTATTTTGATGTTTCAGGAATGATGGAAATACATTCAGTTAAGGGAGGTACCTATAGGGCTTTGCAATGAAAAAAATAAAATCAAGCAAAAACTGTAGATTAATTTGGGTTTCCCCCCCAAGTAGAATGCCTGTTAAATATTTCCATTTCCATAATAGAAACGCTCTTTTATGAAAACAAAGCTCAACCACTGTGCGTTCTCGTTTCAGTCTGATATCACAAAGTAGATAATTTTATTCCGCTGCCAAGTGACACTCTGATGGAGCTGTGACATGTGCACTGCGAAAAGTTTTTCAGAGGGGGGTGATGTGGCAAGGTGTTTCCACAGGCTGCTGAGGATAACAGCAAGCACTACCAGCTTAGTCTGCTGCTGCCGCTCTTACAACCATCGTGGAAAGGATAAGGGAGGCAGATACTTGTGGGAAATGTCTTAAATTCTTGTCCTTTTCATCACGTTTGTTCTGGTGGAAAATGAGGACAAGCTTTGCTTATCTTTTTGTCTTAATCCCCATGCATTCTGATGGCCAGAAAGGGACTTCGTTTTACGTTGGTGAAACCCAAACCACCCCTACAGGCCGCCTAACTCCCAAAGGCTCTTCCACCCCTCAAGCTCTGCAACGAGAGAAAATTACAGTTGTTACCTCTGTATATATGCACTTACTACACTGATGTTCTTGCATACAAAATACTCAACTCTAAAGTACTTACCCAGTTACATCATCTTTACCTGATAACTCCCATTTTCCTCTTCCTGAGCACCCTGTTAGCCTAGCTATGGTGTTTGTGCCACGCGGATCAAAGCATTTTGCAGGAATGTGTCCTTAATTTTTCAACCCTTTTTAGTCGCTGAGAGTTTAATGCTTTATTTTGTTCTTTTTATACCCCCTTACAGCATAGGGGTGATTTCTAATACGTAAATAGACCAGCAGTAAAAATAACTTCTGAAACAGAGCAACTATTCTCTGGAAAATAGCTTCCACATCCCTTCTCCAAAAGACTCATCAGTAAGAGAACCACAAAAAAAAAAAAAAAAAAAAAAAAAAAAAAGAGGCAGAAAAAAAATATGTTTCTCTAGTCTTGTACCATTCTACCAAAAAAATCACAGATTTAAATCCATGACATAGCGCATGTGTCATCTCAGGAGAGTTTGAGTGCTGTACTCGGACCCCACCACTACCAACTACACCACTAAGACCTTACTTACAGGTATATGTTTTAAAAATATATTTTTAAGAAATTTCTTGACTCTTGAACAAGAGTTACTAGGACAAAACCATCTCTACAAACATATTAGAGAACTTATATGGAGAAATATTTCCGAGTATGATAAATAAAACAGAGATTATGAGTTAAAGACTGTTACTGTGCAGGGAATATTTTCAGTCATTTCCAGACTAACAAGAGATGAAACAGAATAGCATATATCAGGGATAATAAGGTTTAAATCTGCACAAATATATACAGCTGCAATATTCAGATTAGCTTTGCTTCCTATGAGAAGTCTGAACAGCAAATCCCCCAGGCCCTCTACCCTGGCAAATCCCCCAGGGATCTGGTCCTGTATTTCTATATAGTGAATAGCCTGTTGCCCATTGGTGAAGATAAATTCCTGTAGCTGTGACACTGGCATTCATGTTATCATATTGTATTAAATAAAAATTGTTCTTTGCAGGATAAGTAGCATATAAATCAAAATAAGCTTGATTTTCTTAAAGATTGCTTGGCATCTCTAAAAAACCACACCAACCCCACGTTATCTGCTGTGTCTACAAGTATCAATGCTCCATTCAAACTTCACCCCGCATCCAGGTAATCAGAGTGCTGTGGAAACCAACACTCTTCATCAATCTGTTCATGGAGCATTCCTCAAGCAAGCCTGGTTATGGATTTCATCTTTGAAGCAGTGTCTCAGTATTACCCTGCAAGTGAGAAACCCCAAAGATTCAGTAACACTCTACATGGAAGAAAAAAAAAATATCTGTATTCTATACCCTGAACGGCAATTTAACAATACTGTTGTTCTTAGTCTGGTGCTATTGTTCTCTGCAGTATGTTCTGAAATATCTACAGACCCTACATAAATATGCTTCAGGATTAGTACTTACCTCAGAACTGAAAGTGGAATGATACACAGAAAGCTAAGCTCATTTCCAACAACATTCTTTCTCATCTAGCAAGGGAGACGCAGGAAAGTAATTTAACATTTACATACAATAGGTTTGTTTAAAGCAGGAACAAAATTAAGGTATGGTTAACATTTTTCTGTCTCAGCAACGTATCCATTTTCCATTCCAAGAGCATCAGCCTGTATTTTAGGATACTGCTTTACTTTGTCAGAGTTTTCACTTCACTGTGTTTGCACTGTTAGGTGTTATGTTTAAAATTAACACATCAGTACTACAAGAAGAAAAGTTTTTTTCTTAAGTGATAATCTCTCTATATCGAATTCTTTCATTTATATCTAAAAGAAATCATAGTACAAGCGCAACATAAGTTTTAAACAGTAAACCTTTCCTAACGCAACAGAATATGTGGACGGGAGATTGAAGAGAAGAAAGAGGACATGTTCTTCTCTGTTGCTGCTTTTCTTCAGGTTTACGCTGAGTGCTTACGTTTTCATGGCTTAGACTACCATTTATTGGTGATCTGACTGATTTTAGAGGAGAGTTCTTTAAATCCTCTTTAAAAAAACATCAAAAAGCTACAAAAGCATTAAATGTAGGATTCCCAAAGCTGCAACTGTAGAGGGTGGACTCCTATGGGGCAGAGGAGCCAACACTAGCAAACCTCAGGGCAGCACCCTGATGTAGGATGCTTGTTTCATTGAAGCATTTCATGGTTATTGCCATCTAAAAAAACCCTGAATTCTAAGAACAAAGTTTCAGTTACTCTGCATAGTTCAAAGTTTTTGTTTTGCCTGTGAAAACAGCATTGTAGAGAAATAGTCTACTCATGAAGAAAAAGGGTCCGTCATTGTAGTATAACCAACAACTGTTTATTTTTATCAGTAGCCATCACTGAGCAAGTAGAAATTCCTTTTAGGAAATGACACATAAAAGCCAACTAGGACTTGTTTACACTTTTCCATTCGGACTTCAGCCAACACAGCACTGGAAACTACAAAGAGCTTGCTTACTTTAAACACGAGTAAAATAAATATATCAAGGGGAATTTTAGGAGGCAAATGATGAGATGGCATTTGCTTTAAGTTATCATTCATAATCCCCCCAAAATACTCAGAAAATGTATCAGCATTTATGTGATTCTTCCTCTGATGTAAAACTCACAAACCAATAAAATCTTCTAACTCTGACAAAACATTTGTCAAAGACACTTGCTAGCACTCTTCCTACTTCAGGAATAGCAAACAGTGTTTGTGACAAACACCTGCAAGATGCAATTCTTTTAAAAAGAAAATAATATTTTATCAAATGGGAGAGTCCCAACAAGGAGATCTGATGTTTTATGATCTCTTTCCTGCAGAACTCTTCAGAGTTCAGTTTATACCATTCATGCTATAGTTCCACAAACAACATGCTGCTCATGCTGAAAGTTCATTTTACTCTTGATCAACCTCGTAGGCTAGGACAGATTACTCTGATATGTAGGGAACCCAGAAAAACATATCACCTAGCAAAGGCATAAACTCTTTAATGGCACTTCTTTGGGGTAGCAAATATGTTATGGGATCCCAGGGGAACAGACAGACACGTGATTCCCAAGCTTGCAAAACCCTGCTAACATAGAAGAGAAAATTTCAGAAGTGCATCTTCTGAGAAAATTTTGTTTTACAAAAGATAGTGCAGGCTCTGCAGAAAGTAAAATTAGAGAATTTCTATCAAGGAAAGCAGAAGTTACCTGTTTTTCTTGGAAAAGAGTAGATGACATCATTTCAACTGTGTAATCATTTTAATGTGCAAGAAATTAATTTATAAGTTAAAAAAATGTTCCAAAAGTTAATTACAGAGTTCAAAATATCAGAGTTTTATTTACATATTCACCTACTTCAGTCAAGTGAGAACTGCAGTCTTGCACTGCAGGGTAGTTGTCCTGTCACAGGATAAAGCATCACTTACATTCAGATATTCTCCACTTGTCTGTGCTTTCTTCCAGAAGTCATAAGCACGTGAAAACACAATCAAAATCAAATTATCCCTTGGGAGTTGCACAAGTCAAAATACCTTACGTAGTCCACAAGAAATCAGAACAGCCGTTCTTAAAAGGTATCTCCTAGATGAATGACCATCCAATACTTTAAAAGGCTTTAAGGACATAACTGAGATTCCACCAGTTAACTGCAGATGTGTCTCTCGGGTTATATTTTACAATCCCAGGCAGCTACAATGTGTATTTTCCATGACTATGAACTTTCAGAGAAATAAAAAGTTTTACAATACTTATTTAAATGACACTTCTTGGGACCTGTTATAGCTATATGCAACACCTGCCACAAAATAATCGGTGAGCCACAGCAGTCACAAAAAAAAAAATAAAATTCTTACAGCATATGTAGTTCCCTCTTTACAAGCCTGATGTGATTAAAAAATATCACAGAAAAGAACCACAGTGCTAAGTACTAAAGAGCAAAGCTTACATGCACGCTTTACAAAGTCTAGTATCAGAGCAGCTACTGGGGCTGCTCAAACTTACACAAAAACTTTGTCATCTCCTACAGAACGCTCATCTTCCAGGTAATGCCAAAGTAACAGTCCCCTGGGCTCTTCTTCCAGCAGTGCCTTACGTGCTGGAGTGTTCAGGAGACACTGATTTTTTTTTATTTTTAAACAGACATATGTTCTACCCTTTATATCTCAAGTAAAAATGACTTCATATATTGTATGCATGTGACAGTAAAGAATCCTGTGTTTTCCTTATTGGGTCTTACAGTTTACTTGCAACCTGTTACATGAGTAAACACACACAGACTTGAGGAAATAGTTTATATAAATGCATTCTTACCAGCTGGTGCAGAACGTGAGCAGTGAAGTTGAAACCCATGATAATCGGCACACGATTCATTGAATTTGCCTTCCCTAAAATCTGACTTGGAATCCTTTTTGCTCTCAATCTCATCTGAAGAAAGCTTATCCAGTTCAATTATCACAGCTGACATTGTAAGACAGTCTCAGTATAACTCAAAACAAAGCTGAACGAAGGAAGAAGTCACTTCAAGTTCAGCTTCCCCAAACATGCAGTCCAGGGAAAAATATCTTCCTTTCACACACACACACACAAAAAAAAAAAAAAAAAAAAAAAAAAAAAAA